GAGAGAGAGAGAGAGAGAGAAAGAGAGAGAAAGAACCACGTTGTGTGTCTGTAGGCAACTTTGAACGGTGTGCATGTGCCATTTTTTTCATTTCCCGTGTCTAGACAAAATGAGAATACATTTCCACTGGAGTAAGGAGTCAAATCCATCCAAGATGTCTTAAATGGGAGAATGATTATTTTGTTGTGTGCCATTGACGAGTTAGGCCATTTCTTCAATCAGATGTGAAAGATTTAAGAAAGTGTCAACTGTATTTCTATCCGTCTGCAATTAGTGTAACCTTCAAGTGCTTTTTTTTAGGCCACACAAGCAGACTGCTGTAAGGGCAAAAGTTGGACTCATGATTAGTCATGTGGAATGAAGCACACGTATAAAGTACAAAATAAAACACTGTATTAAGTTTAAGTGAGTCGCTGCTGGTATCGTGTTACACTCGCCTGACTTGTGTGCCGGCAGAGTGGGATGAGATCCCACTCTGTGACGGTGTGGATGTGGGTGTGAATACTTATTCGTCTCTGTGTGTGCCCTGGGACTGAGTGGCGACCAGTTTGGGGTGTAGCTTGCCTTTCGTTAGCTGGGATAGACACTCGTGACCCTCTTCGGGATAAGCGATGTTGACAAAGGGCGGATGGACAGATGGATACATTTAAGTGTGTCAGTGTATGAAAACTTTCTGTACGGTAGTTGTTGTGAGGGTGGTTCTGTTTGTGACCAACAGGTGGCACTGTAGGGCTCCTCCTGCAGTGGCACACTTGCTGGTCATTGTGTCATCAGTTAGTGTTTGGTGAAAAGGACTCCCTGCCCGACCAGTCGGTGTCGGATCATCGTGTGTGTCTCTGTGCACGTGTCATGTTTTGTTTTTGTCATAGGTTTTTTTTTGTTTGTTTGTTTATTACTTTGTTTCTTGTGGTTTTCAGGACTTTTGAGTTTTGTGAGTTAGTTTCTCCAGTGTACTCCTGTTTGCATTTTTTGCTAAATACATCTTGGTCACTCCACCCTGCTCCTCCCTGCCTCTCTGCTTTTTGGGGTCCTCTACACTACCATCACGCAAAACGTGACAGTTGTGATTCATTTCATTTGAAATATGACTAAATTCTCTTCAGAACAGACTCTCAGATGAGCTCAAGTTCAAAAAAATATTTTATTTTTTAATTGCGTCCAAAAAGGCTTGGCAGGGGGGGAAAATACTGGTGTTTTATACATTTTTGCATTCAGAACAAAATAAAACAACTGAGGCACACAGCCCTTGATTTTTATGTTGAAGCACACACTTTTTGATGTCTTGGGTCACACTGTAAGTTGCTCATTACACATGCAACACTTTCAGTTGTTATACAAAAATATTGTTGTTATACAGTTGTTATAAAAAAATCAATTAAGCTGGAATGTTGGCCACCGTCTTCTTGCATTTAGGCTTCTGCGATTCATGTTTGTTGTTGCGCGGGTTGAACATCACATCAAACTGGCACTTGAGATGCTGCACAGGAGGAAACAACAACAGATGGATTATCTACACCTTTGCAAAAGGTCACTCATATACTCACAATTTATTCATCATGCACCACGTCTGTAAAATTTCAAGGGAAGCTGTTGGTGCTGGATTTTTTTTTTTTTTTGCCACAGAACATTGTGTGGTTGCAGTATTACAGTATTTATATTTTCTATTTTATCACATACAGTCGCACAAACAGCATGAATGAAATGTTACATCGACTCTACCATTTTCTCCAGATTGCAGTTGTTCAAGTCCTGATTTTCACCCTTGAGACACTTGGTTTTGCGCAGTACTGCATCGATCCTGTAGTTGATGCCGTTGGTCACCTACCATGGCAAAAGCACAGTTAAAAGGTTTCATGTTTTCCAAGTGCGGATAAAAAAAGCTTGCCACATAAAGCTTCTTTCCAGCAGGCTGACCTGAGACTGCGCAGATGTGATGGACTGCAGTCTGAACAACTTCTTGGCCTTTGAATTCGTGTTGAACGTGTCCACAGCGTGCTGAGCCGCCGCCTGAACCTCTTGGGACTCTGGACTCCTCTCAAACCAGCCACCCAATAGTGTTGCTTTTTCTTTGGGGTAATTTAACAGAACAGACGATAAACACTTCAGAGAGAGAGAAAAAAAAGCTGCACATTGTGTGGAATCTATTTCCAGATTGGGCCTCAAAGTCTTCAAAAACTTGTAAAAACCAGATTGTAAAATGCCTGCCAACTCCACAGAGGTACATCCAAACTGGCGTCATTCCGTGTTAAAGCAAATGAAAATATATTTCTCGACTATTTTAATGAAGGCCTAGAAGCGTAATACCATCGTCTCTTCTTCCGTTGTTTTGCCAACACCCTAATTCCTACTTTCAAATCAATACGGAAAATTTGGACCGCCACCATTTAGTGGTAGCTTTTTCCTCCCATGAATGATGCAAGAACAAGACGAAGATGGAAATAACTTGCAAATAAGCATAAAGAGGTCCACATCATACTTCTCTGGTGGTAAATACAGCTGTAACCTAATAAAACATCCAATACGGGTGCAAAACTGAATTTGAACTGTCAGTTACTGTATTATCAACACGTCAATTACATCATCACTATACTGCATTTTGTCACAGCCAATATACCCACATTTATATGTATATATTTGGTGCCGTTTTATTTTTATTATTCTTCCTGAGTGACTCCCTACCCCAACTCCCCTCAGCCAACAGAAATAGCAGCTCAGCAATGACAATTTTCTCCGACAGAGCCAAAGGCTCTGAGTCATAATGCTGAGCCAGACCGCATTTTGCCATTGTGTCATATACTGATGCGGGCATAGAGCAAGTTTAGTACTATGTAAGGCATATAGCCCACTTGTACATATAGTACCGTCATACTGTCTATGCATGCAGCATAAAGTAAATACACAGAATTTTTTAAAAAGTCATTGCAATTGCTAGTTCCCCACTGTGACTCCCATTTTCATTAATCACTCAGTTTATAATGTTTTCTATTGGAACAAAAATATCACAAGTAAACTTGTTTATGTCACACAGTAGTTGGTTTATTTTGTTGATGGAAAAGTAGACAAGGATAACAACAAGACTGTTGTTGTTGATTATAAACTAAGCCATTGACTACTGGGTGGGGAAAAAAAAACAGTGCTGAATAACTTGCAGATGTCACGCTTTTTTATTAGTCCTGCTGTTGTCCCTCATGCCTCTTTGTGAAGATTGACCATTTTGGTAATGTGCTCGGCTGAAATGAATCTTCCAATTGTTTGACTATACGTTACTTCAAACTCAAATTCCCTAACATGGTAGTTTTACTTGACAACGTTCTGTCATGTGTATGCTTTTTACTTACCTGCCACAATGATGTCCTCCGAAATCTGATCCCCCACACACATCTGAACAACTGACAGACATAGAAGCACTGATAGAGGGAGATTCATCTTGACTTGTTGTCCACCTCCACCACCATGCAGAGCGTTTGAGAGAGTTGCTGGTGAAATAATCCACACAAAGATGAATCACTGTCTGTCCAGATGCGAAACATTAGACGTTTGCTCCTAGAAAACGGTATGTGGGTCCACCTAGAAAAAAAAAAAATGAAGAGTCAAATATATCATTTCAGTAGAAACCAGAGGAGGAGCGCTGAAAAGTAAAGATTGTTACAACTTGCCTTTTTGGGACGTGAATGTGTGACTTGACCCTCGGGCTGCTGGAGCGACAGTGAGGCAAAAGTGAGGGAGAGGAGAGGAGTGTGTTGTTTGTGAATCGTGGTGGCTTTGCAGAACTTTGTGTCTGGTATGTTTCACAAGTCACTGATGACCCACCCACTGACTGGAAATGACGCCATGCACACAGGGATTACATGGTCATCGGTGCCTTTAGGACCCGTCTGGGCGTGTTTGTGTGACGTGGGTGAGAGTGAAATGTCAACTCTCCTGTGAGTACATCAACACTGAGTGTTGTTGTTTTAAACATGGGCAAAAAGTATCGGCTTGGCTATTGCAAGTGACAATAGAAGATGATGAAGTTAGCTCCCCTTTGCGGTTTTCACATCTGTCACTCTTCAGGGAAGACTTTCTACAAGAAGTTGAGTGTGTCTATGGAAAAAAAAAGTGTGTCCGTTCATCCAGGTGTGCATTTGATGATAGACAAGAGGACTTGTCTTAAATATAGGTTCCAGTTTTCAGGCCAGAGGTGCTTTTAGTGCATGGGTTGAGGTCAAAGGTCTGAGGTTCTTCCACACCCCAATTTAAATAAGAACAACAACATTCCGTAAAAGATCCAATTATTTAGGTCATGATGAGGTTGCAAGAATTGTGTTTTGCATGAGAAAGAAAATTAATCCATCGTCAACCGTGACTGATTCATTCAAATGTGTGTCTCAGCGCTTTTGTTGAAACCACTTAAATGGACGTAAACGTTTATGAAGTTGGGTGCATTTCTTTTCAGTTGTTTTTTTTCCCTCCTGAAGGTTTTGCACACAATACTATGTGCTGTCACAGCACGCATCAACACGGTCATTTTGTCATCATAATAGATGGTGTCGACCATTCAAATGGTGAGATTAAATACACAAAGGTCAGCATCGCCTTGAATGAAACTGGTCAATTTCGTTGGATTGTTATATGAACCTGCTTTGAGAATGAAAGCTGTGCATGAAATTGCACTTCATGTCTGTTCATCAGGTGACGACTGCGATCTGCTCTAACACTGTAATTAAATTACAGTCAAACTAATGCCGGACTTATCTGCATATGGGCAAAACTTGGCATTACTTCAGCTCTGTAGAATCCACATGTGTAAATGTCCAGTATTATGCCAAAGGTTTCTGTAATGACACAGTCATTCCGGCAGGGGTCGCAACACGCATTCAACAGTTGTAGTACAGTCAATCAACCTAATGTCAACAGTTGTTGGATGAGAGCTAAAGTTGAAATTGCACGATTCCAGATTCTATTAGGGGAAAAGTGACTCACCCATGCAATGGTGTTCTTTTGGCAAATCGGAGTCAAATGAAGAATTCACATTTGCTGGAGCCTGTCCCAGATGACTTCGGGCGGAAGGCGAACGACACCCTGAACTGGTCGCCAGTCAGTCGCAGGGCACATAGAGAAACAAACAACCGTTCACATTCAAATCCAGTTCGACGCTGCCCGCACACAAATGATGTTTTAAAGCAAGAAAACAAATAATAAATATATTTATGAATAATATTTTAATTCATATAAACGGACCAAGTTGCCATTTGTGTTTTGATGTGCCCCGTTCATTGCTAAATTGTGTCTCATGAGACAAAGGTGACATCCAAAATTGAATTATGAGGTAAAATTCGAAAGCTTTTCTTTAATACAGCAACATCACTTTTCTCGAAAAGCAGTGATATTTATTGCAAATTGCTCTACTTTCCCAAATTCTAAAACAAATTCCAACTTTCAGGATTTGGGTAATCCAGAGGTCACAGTTAGAGTTGATCTGTTGATTGCGAGCCACGCTGTTGTTTTTACCGAGATTAGAGGCACAGACGAGCTCGTTGTTTTCGACAAATGAATTAGTGACATTAACTCCATTGTGTGCATGAACCGCAATAGCCGGTAATGGTTTTAATGGGATGATGTTCTCACATTCTGTAACAGATAAATACAGAAATAGATCAGCGTCCATCAGTCAGCGAAGCAAGCTTGTATCCTCATATAGACACTGACTCGTGTAACAGATGGACATCTATTTTAAAAGACGCAATACGTTTGTGCCAACGACTGAATGATTGATCTACTTTTGATACCCCCGAAGACAAGTGGAGTTTGATTGATGACTTTGATCGAAAACGCATTTGGACTAAACAAATATGTTCGTATATAGACTCTACATTTGTATTTAATTGGTTTGAGGCACCCCTCACGTTCTCCCTAATGTTTATCCAATTGTCTACTTTTGCATTATGTTTGCATTATTTAAACCAAAGCGTTATGCACCTCCAATACCTGACATTTTGAACCAAAAAAAAATAATTCAATTCTATCCTTTGTGCTGTTCAGTCCTCAATGTCGATCTCCTCTTCTCAAACCTCTGCTCACTCACTGCTGTTTTTCCCAGACTCATTATAATCGCTTTACAGTCACACCCCGCCCACTCGACGAATGATCGACTGCTCGCTCATCCAATGAGCTTTCCCCTATCTTGACCGACCGTCTTTCCCTTGCTTCCCCCAACCTTCCCCCTTCCACCTCCCCCTCCTTGTCCTACACGGTTACTCTCTCGCGTAGCAATCTCACCTCTCGTCTCCCCGGGAAGCCGAAGAAAGTTCCAAACATGGGCGACCAAATAATAATGTCCGCTTGACTCTTGGGGGAGATTTTTCCAAGGTAAGTTGGTTGATTTTGAAGCGTTGAAATCGAGCGAGCGGGAGGAGGGAATTTAGCAAAGCGGGGTGGCTGCGCGTGCGCCTGCCAGAAAGTTTATCCGGCTCACTCTTTGGGACAGCAGGGAAATTACTACAGTGTTTGTCCCCGCGGGGATGTGTCATGCTTCTATGGTGTGCATGTGTGCACCTATCAACGAAACCTTGAACATGTTGTCCATGATTGTTATTTTGTGTCTTAGCGGACTTGTTCATTATCGCCTGACTTAAGTGTGCACACACACATGGAAGCAAAACAATTGTGTATTATCAATTTATGATCTTGAGGGACTTATTTATTTGGTTCGTTTTTTTTAAATGCATGCATGTTCAATATTTTGTTTTTGTTTGCTTGGCGGTAAAATCTTCAAACTGAAAGCTGGATACCCTCTCAAAAAAATAAACAAACAAAAAAACAACATCATACCTGTTCTCATGGGGTGGTTGCCACTGTAGAGAAAATAGATGGCAGACAGTGGTCTCGGAACTACAGATGTGCATTCCCGCAGCCAGTGAAGTGATCAAGGCTCTAAATAGAGCCCAACAGGAATGCAAACAGACCCAGGAGAGACACCAAGCCTGGGGGCGTCTGGGGAGCAGTAGAGTAAAGGTATTTTGCTTAAAATAAGCAGCAATTTGTGCCCCACTCTTGAATGTCACTCCAATTAGAAAGGACATGTTGTGCAAGGATGCTTTTGTGCAAGGAGATGTCGCTCTTCTTGTACTTCAAATCAGCTGTTGAAGTTGTTCAAGTCTCAAATGTTGCGTCTTAAAGTTTAGGAATTGCATTTTGAATGATTTTCAAGTTTTCTCCCTTCATTTGGGTGTTGTAATTCGGTCGTCCTTGTCTTGGCGGGTACGAGATGGCTTATCAGTGGATGTAACAGGCAGTAGCGTACTCAATGACCATGTGTTGTGTGTTGTCAGTTGAGCAATGACTGGCAAGTGTATGATAAGTTACAAGCCAAACACTGAAGACAAAATGCGATTCTGATTTGCTGTCCGTTGTGGCTTGAGTAAGTTCCACCTACTGCAGTGATGTTGTCCTTTTCACTCTCCAACTTTCTGGCCTAATCAGGAAAGGTTTCTCAATTCTCTCCTTGTTCCAATTTTGTGAGAAAGCTATATTTTATCCCATTATATAACCAGAAAATCTCTTTGTTACGTGTACTCACTACAGTGTTTGTCCCCGCGGGGATGTGTCATGCTTCTATGGTGTGCATGTGTGCACCTATCAACGAAACCTTGAACATGTTGTCCATGATTGTTATTTTGTGTCTTAGCGGACTTGTTCATTATCGCCTGACTTAAGTGTGCACACACACATGGAAGCAAAACAATTGTGTATTATCAATTTATGATCTTGAGGGACTTATTTATTTGGTTCGTTTTTTTTTAAATGCATGCATGTTCAATATTTTGTTTTTGTTTGCTTGGCGGTAAAATCTTCAAACTGAAAGCTGGATACCCTCTCAAAAAAATAAACAAACAAAAAAACAACATCATACCTGTTCTCATGGGGTGGTTGCCACTGTAGAGAAAATAGATGGCAGACAGTGGTCTCGGAACTACAGATGTGCATTCCCGCAGCCAGTGAAGTGATCAAGGCTCTAAATAGAGCCCAACAGGAATGCAAACAGACCCAGGAGAGACACCAAGCCTGGGGGCGTCTGGGGAGCAGTAGAGTAAAGGTATTTTGCTTAAAATAAGCAGCAATTTGTGCCCCACTCTTGAATGTCACTCCAATTAGAAAGGACATGTTGTGCAAGGATGCTTTTGTGCAAGGAGATGTCGCTCTTCTTGTACTTCAAATCAGCTGTTGAAGTTGTTCAAGTCTCAAATGTTGCGTCTTAAAGTTTAGGAATTGCATTTTGAATGATTTTCAAGTTTTCTCCCTTCATTTGGGTGTTGTAATTCGGTCGTCCTTGTCTTGGCGGGTACGAGATGGCTTATCAGTGGATGTAACAGGCAGTAGCGTACTCAATGACCATGTGTTGTGTGTTGTCAGTTGAGCAATGACTGGCAAGTGTATGATAAGTTACAAGCCAAACACTGAAGACAAAATGCGATTCTGATTTGCTGTCCGTTGTGGCTTGAGTAAGTTCCACCTACTGCAGTGATGTTGTCCTTTTCACTCTCCAACTTTCTGGCCTAATCAGGAAAGGTTTCTCAATTCTCTCCTTGTTCCAATTTTGTGAGAAAGCTATATTTTATCCCATTATATAACCAGAAAATCTCTTTGTTACGTGTACTCTTTTTTTTTTCCACTGTCAAAGTAAAAATCCACCCTGATTAGTTCAGCAAAATAACAAAAGCTCTGTTTTCTTCTTGAAATTCATCCATCGCAAATGAAGTCATTGGTCTATTGAAAGAGAAAAATGATTTTTTAATTCAAATTTGAGGTTGATATTTTTGAATCATTGTCAGGAACATCTGAAAAATTGTCGGAAAAACCTCCCAAAAAAAAAAAAAAAAAAAAAAAAAAAAAGGGCAGAAGCCGTGTATTCGATTCTGGGCCAAGAAATTTCAAGCCACATTTTCTGTACCACTTATCCTCAGTAGGGTCACAATTGGGCTGGAAATGATCCCAGATGAGTTGAGGCGAGCGATGGGGTACACGGCAGGAGATGGGGTACGCTTTGGACAGCTCACCAGCCAATTGTAGGGCGCATATAGCGAAATCTCGACAAATGACCATTCATACTCACATTCGCACCAAAGGACAACTGAGAGCAGGGGTCACCAACTCCGGTCATCGAGGGCACCTATCCTGCATGTGCAACGCTCATTATCAGGTTCTTCAGAACCCTGATAACGATCCTGATCATGTGAAGCGTGTATGCTGGGGAGGGAAACATTTTTTAAAAAGACGCAAAGGATAAGAGCCCTCGAGGAACGGAGTCTTCAAATAACCTAACATACAGATGTCCGCTTTTGTCAATATTCAGCGAGCAATCGTTTTTCTTCCAGTGATCCAACATTTTCTACTGAGGCACAAAACAATAATTTTTGGTCTGGCTAAGTTATTTTTCACAGCTAAACTTTCCTTGACACTGAATTGGGTCTGGTTTGAGTTTCTCTCCAGCTTCCCCATAGCTTGCAGACAGCTCTTACTGGCAGTCCTATCAATCTCTTCTCCAGCACTGGCCAAAACACACATCGACATACTGCAGATGTGTACACATACTGGCTACATATGCATGCACAATATACATTTAGCTCATGCGGACAGACCCAGAGGTTTTGAACGTACATCAACGCATAATTAACACATAGCCAGTCCTTCCAAAGTCTTCACTTTTCGCATGCATGTGGGCCTTCGGTAATCAATTCAAAATTAGAGTGAAAGCTGCTCCAAGAACTTTAGCACTGCTTGCCAGCTCTGACTCTGAGGCCGTACTTTTCTTGGTATGTGTGTGTGTGTGTGTGTGTGTGTGTGTGTGCGTGTGTGTGTGTGTGTGTGTGTGTGTGTGTCTGTGTGTCTGTGTGTTTGTGAGGAGAGGCAGAGAGAGCCAGCTTTTGATATTGAACCAACTTTGAGGGGCCCACAATGGGGCATTTCTTCTCCACTCTGCTTCTCTTCGTGTAGTCTATCCCCCGCTCACTAAAAGCAGAGCTCAGTATTTTGTAGGCAGTACTTTGCAACAAAATAATAATCTCTAATTAAATGTCTACTACAAAGTGGTTGGTCCCTTTCGAGTCCGACCGTACGATCTCAATATTAATTACAGTGCCTTCTGCTCCAAGCCACATAGTTAGCCACTAAAGTGGAATCTGGTTTTGTGGCTTAGCGTCGTGGTTTCTTTTAAGCTGAGCTGACCAATAAAAACAACCATTGTTGTGATAATGCTCCTGTTTGTAAAAGTTTTACCTGCATACAAAATGTACAGCCAAACCTCAGTTTTCTTGATTTATCCATTCTGAAAAATCAGCCTGAAACCGAATGGAACAAAAAAAAAACTGAAGCAATATTTCACACAGGAAATCATGAAAATCAAACTCGGTTATGGGTACCTAAAACGATTTCAGTCAAGATGATTCGAATTGAGAATAATTACAGTTGACCGTACACAGAACAATGTGACATCATTGTAAATGACTAATGACATGGATAAATGAAGAGCAAACATCACTTTTACCTTCTCTGAAGCCTCTTCGGTTACCGTATTTTCCGGACTATAAGTCACAGTGTTTTTCATAGTTTGGCTGGGAGTGCGACTTATACTCTGGAGCGATTTATGGGTGAAATTATTAACACATTATTATATCATTTCACATGTCATTTTCACATTAAACCACACAGGGCGCTCTAGACCTGTATTGATAAAACCACGATGAGTCTGACGTAAGCGACGTAGAAGAGGAAGCGCTGCATCTTCTACCTTTCTAGTTATCTGAATAACTCTTGATATGTTACTTGAACATACCAGGCACGTTCTCAGTCCGTTGTTTATGCGTCATGTAACTGATTCAGCGTGTTGTTTTCTATTTTATTTTTATTTTAAATTGCCTTTCAAGATGGCATGTATGTTCTTGGTGTTGGATTTTTATCAAATACATTTCCCCCCAAACTGCGACTTATACTCCAGTGCGACTTATATATGTTTTTTTTTCTTTATTATGCATTTTATGGTTGGTGGGACCTATACTCCCGAGCGACTTATAGTCCGGAAAATACGGTACTTTTATATGCTTCAGGAATACTGTGACACCAAACTGTCAACTGTTGCTAACATGCAGCAAGTTATTTTCCAACAAGATGGCCCCCCAGCGCATTATTCGCTAGGATTTCATATATTCCTGGACGAGCAGTTCCCTCAATCTTTGGATTGGTCATCATGGTCCCGTGGAGTGGGCTACTCCATTCATCAAATCTCACATCAAACAAAGTCTATGGACAAAGGGCTCAGGATCGCCCAGCATTTGAAGAAGGAGCATCAGACACACTTGTGCTTCAGTGACTCC